TGTATATCTGTGCAAGTAGGTACATAGCAAAACTTCCAGAAGCAGAACTATATCAGGGCCCGTTTCTTACAATAAAATGTTGAAAGCAGAATGGACATTGGACATCCTAAGTCCAAAACTGCAGAGAAGTCTAGTTCCCCCAGGGGGTTGCAGGGGTGGGGGTGGGGGGAGTTGAGTAACACCCACCCACACACTGCCTGAACCAGCCAGGGAGAGGCCGGACACAGACACTGCTCCCTTGGCCCGCCCTCAACTGTCACTTCAGCTGCCACAGGGCAGGGATCCACCTGTGGGGCTCCAACGGTCAGCCTCACCAAGTGAAATGAAATAACAACTTGGACAAAATGCAACTGAGTTACTTCCAGGGAGAGGAACAGGCTGAAAGGGGCACCTTCTATTTGCTACTTAAAAGAAGTCGATCTTGTTACATTTGTTAACAGACGCGCAGGTTCCTATGGACATGAAGCAAAGCCCTCTCACCAAAATGCTAGCCCTGGGTTCCTTCCAGCTAATGTTTACCTGCCTGCCAAGCTCTATGCAAAAAACAACAACAAAGGGGCACCTGGGTGGCTCAGTGGGTTAAAGCCTCTGCCTTCGGCTCAGGTCATGATCTCAGGGTCCTGGGATTGAGCCCCACATCGGGCTCTCTGCTCTGCGGGAAGCCTGCTTCCTCCTCCCTCTCCGCCTGCCTCTCTTCCTACTTGTGATCTCTGTCTGTCAAATAAATAAATAAAATCTTAAAAAAAAAACCACACAACAACAACAACAACACACCATCACTTCTAGTCCCGACCCATGAGGCCAGGGCCAGAGTCATCCTTGCTTCTCTGAGGATATTCCAGAAGCTTGACAGATTAAGTGATGTGCCCAAGGTCAAGCCCAGGAAGTGGCAGACCCTTAATCTTAACCACAACTGTCCAGGCGGTTCACAGCTACCCAGCCTCTTCCCACTGACTCAGAGGCTCCGGGCAGGCGGGGATCTGAATCAGAAGTCCGCCCAATGTCTCTGTTCACAGGGCCCAAAGCGTGGAATTAGCCCAATGTCCCTGTTCACAGGCCCAGCACGTGGAAAGGAGAAGTGACACATCCAAGCTGACACAGGGAATGAGGGGCAGGGAGCGGGATGGTCAGCCAGGCCCCCTTCTCGGCAACGACCGAGTACTGCTGCCAAGCACCAAGCCTTGTGTCAGGCAGCTGCAGACCCAAGAAAAGCCAAAAAGAATATGGCAGGGCAGACCCTCGCCCTCGGAAGGCTTCCATCCTGCTCCGGGGAGAATGCCAGGTAGCATGCAGCCACTGTTAGAAAGAAGCCACACGATGGCAGAGCTCCTCAAAGCCACTCACAGGCTCTCATCTCCTCTCACTCTCCCCAGGCAACCTCTAGTGATCCGACCACCATCACCATGGATATTATTATCTCCCCAACTCTGCTCCTCACACCAGGGCCAGGACAGGCAGTAGCGTTCTCTTGAGGACAGCAGCTGGTCGTGGAGGTCAGTGTACACCCTCAACAACCTCGCAGGCCAAGAATCAGAAATAAGAAGGTAAGAGACCTGCCTTAAACGAAATGCACTGTCATCAAAACAACGTGACATGAGATCAGAGAAAACATCCAGGGGAAATCCAGAAACAAATTCAAGAACGCAAGAGAACGTGACGCAGGTTGAAGGCGGTGCTGTAAATCCGCAGAAAGGTGTTATTTGCCTTGTCAATTTTCCCAGAAGACAGAGCCTAAGCCCTACTTCAGACAAGAGACAAAAACTAAAACCCAGAGGGATCACATATTTTAGTATAGAAGTAAAACACAGGGGCGCCTGGGTGGTTCAGTTGGGTAAACATCTGCCTTTGGCTCAGGTCCTGATGCCAGGGTCCTGGGATCGAGCCCCGCTCAGGCTCCTTCCTCAGCGGGGAGCCTGCTTCTCCCTCTCCCACTGCCCCTCTTGTGTTCTCTCTCTCTGTGTCAAATAAATAAATAAAATCAAAGAAAGAAAGAAAGAAGACACAATAGATGAAAAAGTACATCCACACAAAGATAATAATGAGACGGTTGCGAGTAGCTCTACTCATAACTTGCCCCAAACTGGAAAAACCCACACGGCCATCAACAGGGGCGAGGATAAACAAACTGTGGTCCATCCACACAATGGGATACAACTTAGTGATAGAATGAAGGAAACAACTGATAGACACAACACAGACAAGCTTCAAACTGAGTGAGCTGAGCTAGAGAAGCTAAAGTCGAAAGGCTGTACGTAATGTATGAATCTGTCCATAGGACTTTCTGAGAAATATAAGGGCTATAGGATCTAAAAACAGATCAGTTGGTGCCAGGGGCTGGGGGCAGGGGCAGGGGCAGGAAGTGACTACAAAGAAACATGAAGAAACTTTTGGGGGTTGCTGAAGCATCTGGGTGGCTCAGTCGGAGAAGCCTCTGCCTTCGGCTCAGGCCATGATCTCAGGGTTCAAGTCGTGATCTCAGGGTCCTGAGATCAAGCCCCATGTTGTCATTGGGCTCTCTGCTCAGCAGGGAGTCTGCTTCTCCCTCTTGCTCTCTCTCTCTCTCTCTCTCTCTGCTCCTCCTCCCTCCTCATGCTCTGTCTCTGTCTCTCAAATAAATAATTTTTTTTTTCTTTAATAGGAAGGGCCAGGCCATGCAGGACCCTGTGGGCCATGCTAGGAGTTTGGTCTTTTTTCTTTTTTAAGATTTTATTTATTTATTTGACAGAGAGATTGAGAGAGAGCACAACAAGGCAGAGCAGAAGGCAGAGGGAAACAAAGAAGCAGTCTCCCCACTGAGTAGGGATCTCAATATGAGGCTTGATCACAGGACTCTGAGATCATGACTTGAACCCTGAGATCATGGCCTGAGCCGAAGGCAGCTGCTAAACAAAATGAGCCACCCAGATGCCCCTAAATAAATAAAATCTTAAAAAAGAAAAAAGAAAAAAAGACACCTTTTGGGAGTGATGGATACATTCACTATCTTAATTGTGGTGATGGTTTCATGGGTGGACACATATGTCAAAACATGAAATTTCGTACTTTACCTGAGATTTATTTTCTGTCACTTATTATCTCAATAAAGCTGGGTAGGAAGGAAGGTAGGAGAAAGTGAGAAAGACAGAAATAGAAAATAGAAGGAGAAAGAAAAGAAACTAACAAACCCGGCAATCATGAGCAAATATGGGATTGTCCATATATACTATGGCTGAGTTGCAATACGAACTGTGTAGCTACTAAAAACAAAAGCTACTCGGATGTGTTTTGACTATTCAGGGTAATAGCAAATTTCAAGGAAACATAGAGTGGGATCCCATCCACAGCGTATACAAGTTTTATCCGCACTGAAAAAGGTCGCTAGTCAGTTCCAAGGCTAATACTGCCCCCTAGGGGTTACCTTGAAGATAGCTCAACTTAAAATACCTCTCAATAATTATTTTCCTGAACGCTCTAATGAAAACAGCTCTTATCAAGGTCACCAGTGACCAAACACTTGCAGAGTCAGAAGAGTCAATTCTCTTTCCTCATCTCAGTGAATGTCTCAACCACATGTGAGACAGCTGACCAACTCTCCCTGTTTTGAAATACCTTCTTCTGGAGGCTGCTGGAAAAGGACACCTACCTCTCCCCGCCCTACCTCATCAGTCTGCTCTGTCTCTTGCTGACACCTTTTCCTAACATCCAAGGATGGGGTGCCCCTAGTCTCCTTCTTAGCCCTCTTCTTTTGCCATACTTTGCCCCTCACCCTGAAACCAGACGACTTCCTCAGGCTCCAAGGCTTCAGATCACCTCCATAGGTGAGTGGCTCTCAAAATCACACCCAGATCCTTCCTCTGAGCCCCAGACTCCACTTCCAATAACCTGTCCCATACCTCTTTTTGCTTGTCTCAAAAGTCATGGCTAGAACACAACGCTTGATTTCTCCTCCAAATCATCTCCCTGAGAGGCAGAACCCAAGGCCTCCAGATAGTGGCTTTCATCTTTGATTCCTTTCTCTCCTTCACTCCAGAAATTTCATGTTTCTGTGTAACTCCGGCCCAGCCTTCTATTTCAGCCTGAGTGTCAGTCTCCCAGAGAAGCCTTCCCTAAGCTCTCAGGCTGGCTTGGCAGTCCCCACCACATCATATGCTTTGAGAGCCACACATTCTCCTCTGCGACAGTGCAGTACTACCCTGAAGAGTGCAGTAATTGATACTTTATGTCCAGCCTCTTCCCTAAGTTGTGGGATTCATAACCCCTTTTTTCCTTCTTCCTCCAACTCCAAAGCGGTCCCTAACATGGCCCACAACACTCCACGTGGTCTGGTCCATGTATGCCTATCCAGTCTTTTCTTACAACTTCAGCACCCAGCGTGGTCCGCGGACTAGCAGCATGGACGTCACTGGCGAGCTAGTCGGAAATGTAGACTTTTAGACCGCACACCTGACCTAAAGAATCAGACCTGAACTTTAAGAAGATCCGCAGGCTCTTATTAAAGTTTGAGAAGACAGTCCGACAAGCTCCCCCGTCACCGATTCAGCCGTAATGGTATCTGCAATTCCTTATCCCTGAGATGTTTGAATGTGTCCGAAGTTGGGGAGACCCAGGTGGGCTGCGAGGGGCTGGGGCTTGAACTGGGAGAAAAGACAAGTGAAGATGCTGCGGCCAAGGGCAAGTCAGCCTTTCCCTCGCTGGAAACTCAGCCACCGCCGTCCTGAAACCCGGTAGCCTACCCTCTTGAGAACTCAGCAGAAGAGATGCTGCGCAGTACCGCAGTACGAGGCGCACGCGCCCCCGCGCAGGCGCACTGCGACCCCGCCGCCCAGCCGGGTACGCGAGTACGCGTGTGCACCGGGGGAGGCGGGGCCTGCCCGCGGGGCGGTCCTCCTCGCGGGTGAGAAGAGGAGAAGGGTTTCCGCTTCCGGCGGGAGACGGAAGTCACTGTCTCCTGGTGAACGAGGCCGTCGCAACGAGGGGAGAAGAGTGTAGGTGACTGTTCGCATCGGCGGGCGTTGGGCTTGGCGTGACTGGGCGATCTTCTGCTTGGAGACGCTCAGGGGGTCCAGGAGGAGGCGTCGAGGACCCGGGGCTTGGGGGGGTGGCCTGCCGGGGGAGCTTGGCTCCCTCGGACCCCAGCCCGCTAAGCGCGGCTGCACGGTGGCCCGGCTCCCACGGGCGGCCGGCGGGAGGCGTCGCCGAAACCTCGGTGAGCTTGGACGGACCGCTCACCCGCCGCCTCGTGAGTAACGGCAGGGTTGGGGACCGATTCCTTTTCCGGGCCGCCTTGGCGCGCTTGGACTTAGGTCGCCACAGGGCAGGCTAAGGCCCCTGGAGCTTTGTGTACAGGCCAGACCCCTGTTCCGCTGTTGGGTTGGGGGTGCTGCAGATGCCGGGTAAAAGGAGATTCTGGGGTGCATCCGTACCTTCTGATTCCAGAGACTTATTCATGCAACAAGTAGTTATTGAGGGCTTAATGCATACCAGGCACTACCGGTGCTGGGGATTCAGCAGTGGGCAAATCGTGCCTCCCACGCTGTTCCATTGGGGGCAGATCTGAGATGAGGTTCGGAAATATCCACCACCACCCCCATCCCCCCCGCCAGGTGATTCTGTTACAGATGGTACCCGGGACCGGCTTTGGGAGAACAAAACACTGCCCCTAGCACTGGAGAGACATGGGTCAGTAGAAATGGCCACACCTTTGAGGTCTGGCTGCATTCCTCGGCTGCCCCATCTCGTACCCTTTCTCCCCATTGCTCTCTGAGCTTCAGCTGTACCGATCTTTCTCTTTCTGGGAAAAGAAGGGAAAAAAAAAAAAACTGCTTCTACCTCAGCCCTTGCAATTGCTGTTCCATCAGGTTGGACTGTTTCACGTGGTTGCTCTCTCTCATCATTCAGGCCTCGGCTTAAATGACTTTTACCCAGAGGGTCCTTCCCACCCAACTCTTACCTGAAGTAGCCCCATTCCGGAGGTATTCACGTAGCCCTGATTGATTAATCTCATAGCACTTACTGATAATTGAAATTATTTTTCTTACAACGTTGTTGAGGGTCTGTCGTCTTCTACTAGAATAGAGGTTCCACGAGAGCATGCACTTTGTCTGCCTCGAATGCAGCCTTGCTGTGGTTAGTGAAGGGCCTGGCATTGGTTCATTCATTCATTTATTCCGTAAACATTGGTTGTGTGCCAGCAGTTCCAGGCTCTGGGGATACAAAGAAAAGACGGAAATCCCTGCCGCCATATAATTTGCATTTGGAAGGAGGTGGGCGGGGAAAGAGATTCAGGGACACCAATGAGGAGGCTGTGTGAGCATGACCAGGACTCTGGACCCAGACCTTGGTCTTGGCGAGAAGTGGGCAGATTCTGGATTTCTTTTAGAGGTAGAGCGGTAAGATCAGGATGAGATAATGGGTGTGAGAGGGAGAGAAAGGAATCAAGAGCAAGTCCAAGTTTTTTGGATAGTTGGATTTACTATCTGCGGAGATGGGGAAGACCGGAAGAGCATCCCAAAACCAAGCTGCTGGGGTACCTGGGTGGCTTAGTGGGTTAAGCCTCTGCCTTCCGCTCAGGTCCTTGTCTCAGGGTCCTGGAATCGAGCCCCACATCCGGCTCTCTGCTCGGCAGGGAGCCTGCTCCCCCCCACCACCACCACCTGCCTCTCTGCCTACTTGTGATCTCTGTCAAATAAATTAAAACAAAACAAACAAACAAAACCCAAGCTGCTGAGTTATGTTTAAATGTGTCTTAGCATCAGGTGAAGGTGTAGCTGAGGCAGTTAAACGAGCCAGTCTGCAGTTGAGAGGAGACACTGAGGATGGTGAGATCAGGAGGCATCAGTACAGAGGAGGCATTTGAAGCCCCGAGGTGGGGCAAGATCTCCACGGAGGTGAATGCAAATGAAGTAGACCCCCAAAGATTGACCTTGGGGGCTCATGTACCATTAGAGACGATGGGTGTGGGGGGAGCAGCAGCAGCAGAAACCGAAAAGAGCCACAAGTGAGTTCTAAGAACCACAGGGGGAAGGGTGGGAGGAGGGACCAATGTGTTCAGTGCCCTGAGGAGGGGATGAGCAGAATGGTGGGGAGGTAGGGGGAGAATGGGAAGAAATGAATGCAGGCAGTGAGTGCAGACAGCTCTACTAGAAAAGCCCAGAGAGTGAAGAGGTGGTTGTCTTTTTGTTTAGAAAGAGCGCTCCAGCTTGTGAGCTCCGGCAGGGGCAGAGGGAGAGAGAGAGAATCTCAAGCAGACTGTGTGCTGAGCGGGGAGTCCTGTGCAGGACTCAGTCCCATGACCCTGAGTTCATAACCTGAGCTGAAATCAGGAGTTAGACCCTCAACCCACTGAACCAGTCAGGTGCCCCATGAGGTGGTTGTTTTTAAGGATGTATTTAATAACTGTGTTTGTTAATGAGCTAGAGGAGAGAGACAGTGTTGTTGGGATTCAGGGCAAAGGAGGGGAGGCAGAATGGGGGATTCCTGGGGCTTGTGGGTATTCTGTATGACTACTTCTGGTCACTCAGAGAATTGGGCACACCCCGGGTTAAGAATGAGGATGGGATGTAGAGAGATATTGCTAAATATGAGTGAAATTTATTTTTCTGTTTATTGTGGCAGGCTTCTGGCCTCTCTTGTCAGTGTGGAATAGTTAAAGCCATACAGGTTGGGGAGAGGGGGAGCAGCAAGCGGGGAGAGTGCTTTGGGAAGGCAATCCCAGGTTCAGTGATCATGGAGCCCTGAGCACAGTGTCTGGCATGGGGATGTGCTCAGTGGTCACCCCTGCTTCCAAGATGTCTGTCCCTAAATGTCCCTCTGGTACTTGACCCCATCATTTTCCCCCACATTTTGTTCTTCCTGTGTGTTAGACATCAGAGAACGATGCCACCTTCTCTCCCACTCACCCTCTCCATCCCCCACCGTCTTGGGAGTCATCCTGGACCCCTCCTTCTCTCGCCACACTCACTCCGCTAACGCGTCTCAGACTCTGAGCCACTGCCATCCCTCCTCGCTGAACAGTCCAGCCCTGGTTCCGACTTCATAGACCTCTGCCCGGTTCTCCTTGATGCCTTAGAAAGGCAGAGATTTCAGGGGCACCTGGGTGGCTCAGTGGGTTAGGCCTCTGCCTTCAGGTCAGGTCATGGTCTCAGGGTCCTGGGATCGAGCCCCGTGTCGGGCTCTCTGCTCAGCGGGGAACCTGCTTCCCCTCCCCACGGCCTGCCTCTCTGCCTACTTGTGATCTCTCTCTCTCTCTCTCCCTCTCTCTGTGTCAAATAAATAAAGAAAATCTTTTATTTTAAAAAAAGAGAGAGATTTCATCCTTCCTCCCCTCACTGCCCCCAGGTTCCATCCAAACCCCCCCACCTGCCCCTGCTCCCTCCTTACCCTGCTCCTCACTCCCGCCTGTGTGGTCCCCAAATGTTGGCCTCAGACACCTGTCCTCAGACTTGGTATGTGGCGTTTCTGTATACTTGATGCCTCTCCCATCTTCTCTGCCCACCAGTTCTTTATCTGTGGAGAGTGGCCCAGGAGGTTCATCCCGAGAATCTGTCAAATGCCTTGAGTGTCGTTCCTCCTGGTGCCACTTGCATGTCCCTTTGACGAGAGGAGCAGCTGCTCCTAAAATCATCGGCTTCTGAGTGCTTAGGCCCTGCCCAGCCCTGTGCAGCTGGTCGGTTGGAGTCCCTTGTGTCCTCCTCACCAGGAACAGTGGCGTCCTTTGTGGGCGCCAATGATGGACGGGCCAGGTCCTGTACTTCACTTATCATGTGTCATAGCAGCTCCACGAGACCCCTCTGAAATAGCAGCTTCATCTCTATTTTACTGACAGGAAACTGAGGCACAGAGAATTTAAGTCACCAGCCTGGGGTCACCCAGTAAGTGGAGGGCCATGATTAGAACTCGGGCTTCCTGGGCACCTGGGTGGCTCAGTGGGTTAAGCCTCTCCCTTCAGCTCAGGTCATGATCTCAGGGTCCTGGGATCGATTCCTGAATCGGGCTCTCTGCTCGGCAGGGAGCCTGCTTCCTCCTCTCTCTCTCTGCCTGCCTCTCTGCCTACTTGTGATCTCTCTGTCAAATAAATTAAAAAAAAAAAAATTAAAAAAAAAAAAAAGAAGAACTCGGGCTTCCTGATTGATACCAGAGCCTGCTGCCATGCCCCCTGCCTAGAGTGTGCCCAGACTGTCCACCTGCCTGGGGACTGGGCACCTCCTCCCTCAGGGGCAGGGCCTGAGGTGCCAGCCAGGCCGCCTTCCCAGCCTGCCTCCTAGAGCATCAAGCTGGAGGGCTCTGTGGATTCCCCGAGTTGCTGACTTCTGCTCCCACCACCCTCAGGTTTGCCGTCCTTCAGACATGGGGCGCAGAAAGTCAAAACGGAAGCCACCCCCCAAAAAGAAGATGACCGGCACCCTAGAGACCCAGTTCACCTGCCCCTTCTGCAACCACGAGAAGTCTTGTGATGTAAAAATGTGAGTGGGGGCCCCGACCTCCTCCCTCCTCCCAAAGTCGGGAGGCAGTTTCCCTGCTCCCACCATCCTCCTCTCTGCCCCAGGCCTTCCCAGGTGGGGGGATCATCACCGAGAGACACAGGCTCCTTTACTCACCAGTCCCTCCCCCTCCTCCTGTTCCAGGGATCGTGCCCGCAACACTGGAGTCATCTCTTGTACTGTGTGCCTAGAGGAATTCCAGACGCCCATCACATGTATCCTTGGGAAACCAGGCTTTTCCTGGAAGGTGGGGTAGGATGGGAAGGGTTGGGGGCAGTCAGGACTCCCCTGCCCCAGGTGGGCTGCCCCAGAGCACCTGGCCAGGAGCAGGGGGACCAGACTCGAATCTCTTCTCATCTGGCCCTGCTCTTTGCCTCGGTGCAGGGCTCTGGCTGCCTGGGGGAAGAGGAGCCACCTGCTGGTTTCCATAGGGTGCAGGGCGGGGACCTGGCTGACACCAGTGAGAGGTGTGTACAGGGAAGGGGCCCAGTGCCACCAGTCGTCCTTGACTTCAGCGGCCCAGACTTGTCAGAACCAGTGGACGTGTACAGCGATTGGATAGATGCCTGTGAGGCAGCCAATCAGTAGCGATGCAGAGGACCCGCTCCCCTGGCAGCGCCGCCTGCCGTGGACCTGCCCCTTTGGCTGCCAGTCCAGAGACATTCCAGGGTCCAGGGTGTGGGTCCAGGGCCTTCCCAGCCCTCTACGTATATGGAGTGAGTGTGGCTGTGAGTGTGTGCGGTTGTAAGTGTGGCCTTGACAGTGTGCTTGTGGGCAGGGACTGGAGGTGAGGTGGGGTTGTTGGGCCCCCTGGGGGTCTGAAGTGCTTCACTGGGCTCTGAAAGCCTTGAACTTGCTTGCTCCTGCCTGGAACTGGTGTCCTGACCTTCTGGGCAAGGGCAAGGCCAGCAGAGGCTGCCTCAGGACCCTCCAGCCTCCTCAGCCACCTCACCAGCACCTTGCCCGTTTGAACTGGACTGCCCTCCCTCCTTCCCTGCCTTCCAAGGCCTGTGGCCTGAGATTGAGAGCCACGATCCCGTAGCCCCCTTGGCCAGGCCCTGGCAGAACAGCCCCTTTTCATGTTCAGTTGCTTTTGTAGCCGAGGAGGGACTGGGTCGGGGCTAGCTGTCAGCCACAAGCCCTTAAATAAAGCAGCCGATGCAAACTCCTGCCTCCCTGTGATTTCCTGGGTTCTGGGTCAGGCCCAGGGGCTCAGTGAGGGAGAGGAGGAGACAGAGGCGTTCAGAGGTGGCCCGGCGGGCCTTTGGAGATGGGGTTTGGTTAGTCCAAATTGTCCATCTTGTCCACGTGACGGGCATTCGGGGTGAAACCAGGGCAGTGCTGGGCCCAAGGAACCCACGGACGTCTGGCCAGGCATTTACACGCACAACAAAATGGGACCAATGGAGCCTGGGGTGGGATGGGAGGTTGGTCGGAATGACCATGGAAGGCTTCCTGGGGTCGGGGGGTGACCTGATGGAAGTAACACTTCAGGCCCACCCTGTCCCCCCATGAAGCAGGTGCTCCAGGCTCACAGGTGACAAATTGGGCCAGAAATGGCAAGTTACTGGGTTGAAGTCCCCCAGCCAGAAAGCTGCAGAGCTGGGCGTTGAGCCCGGGAGGCCTGGCTTCATGGCCCAGAGTCCATCTTCCTGTGAGTCCAGGGTCCAGGCTGAGGGAGCAGCTCGTAGCTTCCTTGGGGAGGAATTGAGAGCATGGTAGAAGAGGGTAGGGTCCACAAAAGGGACCTTTTTCCAGGGGCGATGAGGGGTCACTGAAGGCCGGACATGGGGCCAGCTGCGCGTGCGAGGTACAATAAATAGTGGCCTTTGTCCCTGGTTCCTGGCACAGAGTTCCTCAAACCCTTGCAGTTTCCTGAATGATGGTGTCACTCAACGGCGCCCCTTTTGATCACACCTGAGTTGGTGCTGGTCACCAAAAAGACGGCGTGCTCACCAAGTGGGGCCCTCAGTAACTCCCACAAGCTCTGAGGGGGTAGAGGGGCGCTGCAGGTTAAGCTGTATAAGGACTTGAGTGAGATCCGCTGAGCTCTGGGCTGGCGAGCCGTGGAGCTGCCGGGAGAGGGGCACCTGCAGAGGGCGTGGGAGCTCCACGCTGGGCGCCTCTGCCCTCTGGCTGTTCCTGATTTACATTCTTTTCTAATAAACCGCTAATCTATTAAGATACAATGTTTCCCTGAGTTCTGTGAGCCACTCTAGTAACCGAGTCAAACCTGGGCAGGTGGTCGTGGGAAGCCCTGATCTATTACTGATGGATCAGAAGCCCAGGTGACAACCTGGACTTGGCAATGGGCCCAAAAGCGGAGGGACAGTCTCATGAGATGGGGCCCTCATCCTGTGGGAGCGGATGTGTCCTCTAGGTCATGATGGAAATGAGTGAATCGCTTGGTGATTCTGGAAAAAAATGCCTCCGAACCCGGCTTATGGTGAACGGCCACGTGTCGCACGGTGGCCTCGGGCAGTCTCGCAGTTATGGAGATCCTGGTGCTCTGGCTGACTGGGGCCGATCGGCACCTGCTCCCAGCCTCCAACCTGGGCACCAGGTGACCGGTGCTTTGTGTTCCTCCTTGGTATAGCAGGAAGGATGATGGAACCTTCTGGACCATGCTGAGGCTGGAGGACCCCAACATAGTGCCTAGGTTTGAATGACTCTGGGACCCACCCAGGGCAGTAAGGGGTGTGAACAGCCGACGGAGGGAGATGCTGAGCTGGCTGAAAGCCTGGGCCACTAGGCCAGCCACTGGGTCTGGCATGTACCCCCCCCACCCCCCATAGGCCCACCCTGCCCCTGACAGGCCCTTCCCTGGTGTTCCCACCTCCCCCTCCAAAGTCCCAGGTAAGGTCCTCTGACCCAGGTAGGAGCCAGTGGGGGTGGGCAGAGCCGTGGACAGGAGCCTGGGTCAGGGGGTGCCCTCAGGAGTCCAGCAGAAAGGGGGCTCACTCCTCTGGCTTCCAGGGCCCGCCCACCCCAATCACACAGGCCAAGTGCTAATATGGTGCTGTTTTCCCAAGGAAGCAGGCCCTGGGCCAGGCATGGATCCTCCTCGGCATAGCTTCCCCATGCTGGTCCTGGGGGAGCAGGACTTGCCCTGGACAGGCCAAGAGCGCCTGGAATCCCTTTTACGAGGCCCCAGGGGTTGCATGCGTCTGTGCGTGCCGGTCTTCTGGTGTCTGTCTCTGCAAGTCCCCGTGTTCCAGCATCATCCCTGCTATGGGGAAGGAAGGGGAGAGCACTGTTCTCTAACCCCCTCCCTGCCATGGCTGCATTCTCTCCTTGGAATTCTGCAGGTGGTGGCTTCCAGGCAGGACGACCAGGGCCCACATCCCTGGGAAGACAGGGTCCCCTCTGAAATGTGGGGAGGTTGGGGCTGTCCACACATTCCTAGGGCCTTGGGCTGGCAGGCCAGGCTCAGGAATCAGCCCTAAGAAGAGGTGAGCCGAGTGCACAGGGCAGCTGTGCCAGGCAATGCTACTCACCGGCTCCGTGCCAGTGTTCAAAGGGCCATTGCTCTGGGCCCCCAAAGTGCCCACGTCCTCCACTGCCTCGTCCCCTCCCACCTGTCCACCTGCCCTCCCAGGCCGAAAGGGGCCCTGCTGCCCACGAGAGCCTCCAGGACCCGGCTTGTCCATTTTCATCAGTCAGTGCCAAATGTCATCCCCCGTCTGTTTCATGTCAACCTCTCCCTGTCCCCAGGAGGCTGTCTGTCCTCTTCCTGTTGGGAAAACAGGCCTAGGGAGGGCAAGTGAGTTGCCGCAGGTCACCCAGCTAGTGGGAAGTGGAACTGTGATTCACACCCCATTGTGCCTGTCCCAGTGCTCGGGCACTTTTTCACCCCAACCCCAGGCTTCCCAGAGAGGCATGCCAGAGCTGAGCGTGTGTGTGGGTACCGTGTGTGTTGGCGGGGAGGCTGTGTGTTGATGTGTCTTGAGTGGAAGTGGGTCCTGCATGAGTCTGTCTGTGAAAGGGGAATGTGTGTGTGCGCCCAAGGCTGCAGAGTGTATGCACACTGTACACACAAGTGCGTGCGTGTGGATTTTTTGTGTGAGTGCGTGCCTGTCCTGGGTTCAGCCGAGGGCTGTGGGCTCCGTGTGTGTGTGTCTCATGGTGTGTGTGGTATGTGTGCCCGTGCCCCAGTATATGGGGGAGATGGAACGCATCTGAGGCCTGGCTGTCAGCGCGTGCACCAGAGCCACGCAGCTCCAGGACAGAGCAGCCCCAAGGCAATGATTTTACAGCTGTTTATTGTGCTCCAGTGAAATAGAAAAAGAAAGTGCTCGCGTTGACAAACGCCACTGTCACATCCACACATGCCAGTCGCTGCAAACCAAACCGCGTGTGTCCGCTGGGTTTCTGGGCATGCACTTTGCTCCCACTGCGGGAATGGGGTGGGGGCAGGCCGAGCCTGGGCTCTGGGGGCTTTGCTTGGGGGGACCTCTTGTCCTGCGGGGACCCACCTGGGAGGGAGTGGAGGGGGGACAGCTGGGGTAGCTGTGCTCAGTGCGTCCTTTGGGTGCTGTTGGGCACACCCGGCTCAATGTAGGATCCTGCGGCGCTCCGGGGAAGAGGGCCCCCTTCCCCCCCAACCTACAACTCCCCCCCAGTCTGCCCCCCCCCAGACGCTAACCCTGTAGGCAGGTGCCAGGGGGCTGGAGGACGCCATGCAGGGGGAGGGGGTCGGCGGGGCCAGCTTGGCCCTGCCGAGAGCAGCAGCCAGCCTCCCTGGTGGGGAAGGCGGGGTGGGGGCCCAGGGCCCTAGGCGGAGTTGTAGTAGTTGTGCGCATGGTGGTTGTGGGCGGGCTCGCCCAGCTCCGGGTAATCGGGCGTCAGGCAGTACTTGGGGTCGTAGACCTGGCGCGGCAGCCCGTACACCGTCATGCCCCTCTGCGAGGCCCCCTTGTTGCTGCCCATCTGCAGGCTGACGTTGAGCGTGTCACAGTGCTCCATGCCTAGCCCGGGCTCGAAGATCTGTCGCTTGGTCCCAGGTGCAGTCATGCCGGCCTACAGAGGGCAGAGAGGTTAGGCCTGGGGTGGGGCCGGGGGGGGAACTGCGGAGGACTGGGGCCCCACCAGCCCCACCCCAGGATCCCCCCCACCCACCTGGCTGGCTCCTTTGTTGGTGCCCATCTGCAGGCTGATGGTGGCCTGGTCCAAGGGCTGGTCCGTGCCCAGCTTGGGGTCGTAGAGGTGACGCCGGGTGCCATAGGCCGTCATGCCCTGCTGGCTGGCAAACTTGTTGGTGCCCATCTAGCAAAGCAGGAGGAGAGTCACCCCAAAGATCACACAGAGCCTCACCCCGGGCCATGAGACATCACATGTCACCAGGACGCCTGCGCGGCCCTCTAACAAGCCACGGCATCCAGTCTCAGGGGTCCGGACTGGAAACTGAGGCCCAGAGAAGGCATGTCCCATGACCTGTAAGTGGTTCAGAGCACCAGGACCTGACCTCCAGGGTTCCAGCCCCAGCCTAGCCACTTATCTTCCTGGGCAGTCCCAGCAAGTGAACTAGCTTCTCCAGGCCCCATTCCCCCATCTGTGTGGAGGAGTGAGTTAAGGTACGGAAATGGCAAGCACGGTGCCTACCATATGTGTGACTTAAAGCCAAATAGTCTGTGCCACAAAGCCCGCAGGACCCGGGTGCCCTCCCGGCCTCCTCGATGCCCCCGCCCCTCCCATCCCCATCCCTGCTCAGCTCAGCCGCAAGACCCAGGTGAGGAAGGGCCAGTACCTGCAACCCGATGATGTTCCGCCCTTCTCTTAGCTTCTCTGGCTCAAATTTCCGTTCCTGCTTCTCTGCATACTTCACCCCTACATTCACCTTATTCCCTTTCGTCTTGGCCTGGAGAGGGCGAAGGGAGCAGCGGGCTGGCGAGGGAGCCTCGGGGCTACATTGTCCCCTCCTGGCCCCTGCTCTCCCCCTCCCACCCACATTGCGTTTGGGTGTCCCCCCTCACAGCCTAGACCCTCCAAAGCCACCCCCGCCCCAGACCCACACCTCTACCCTTCGGCCCCACTCACCATGCTGGCCAACGCCAGGAGGGTGGATTGCACCTGGGTGTGGTTGGTGTTCTCAAACAGGTCGTTGGCCTCAAAAATGTCATGGGGTTTCACCCCGTACTTGGTGATGGCCTTGATGAAGTTCCCGAT